TGCTGGAGTACAGGTGTTGAGCCACTGTTGCCAGGCATTTGCTTATTTTTGTTTCAATATGTTTTAATCACAGTATTTTCCCTTTTTAATGTTCAGATATTGTCTTTTAAACTTGGGCCAGTAAGAAATGCCTGCAAGCCACGGCTTTGTTCTTTTTATATATCTTCACTTGTTTTGAAGCCTTTCCAGTTTTCTGGTCACAAGATGATCCCAACGGCCTTACCTAATAATGTTCCGCTGGCCCCAGATCCAAATATTTCAGAACGCCGAGTCCTTTTCCATGATGACAAATGGTTGGGAAACCAATTATCTGGATTTTGAGTCTGCTTATCTTTATTAAGAAGTATGGTGCATTTTAGGAACTTTTTCAGTGGACAAATTTAGGAATTCGTGGTGTGTATCCATTGCATTCCCACTGCACACTTTGTACTGTCTTTGTCAGGTAAAACCCTGTTTTCTAATATATCGTAAATACTCCACTCAGCCTATTGTTTTACCATGATGGCCAGGCAGGTCTCAAACTCCTAGACTCAAGTGATCCATCCGCCTGGGCTTCCCAAGTGCTGAGATTCCAGGCGTGAGCCACCGCCTGGCCCTGGCGTCTTTTTTATAAGGGCTCTAAACCCATTCATGAGGGCTCTACCCTCAAAACCTATAATTACTTCCCAAAGGCCCCTCTTCCCTAAGACCCTCACATTGAGGATTAGGATTTCAACATATGAATTTTAGAGGACAAACATGCAGCCACAACAGGTGTGTATTGATGACTCATTTTGGTTTTAATCTGCATTCACCTAATATCTAATGTTCATGTGCTTATTTGCCATTTATATATCCTCTGTAGTGAAATGTCTATTCATGTCTTTTATCCTTTTCTAATTGGATTTTTTAAACTGAGTTTTGAGAGTTCTTTATTACAGCTACTAGACTTTTGTCTAGTGGTTTGCAAATATTTTCTCCATAGTTTATCTTTTCATCCTCTTAGCAGAGGCTTCCCCCATGTTTATTTATATGCCAAAAAACTGCATAATGAGTTTATAGTTGACCCTTGAACAACATTGGTTTGAACTGCGTGAGTCCACTTATGATGGGGTTTTACAACCAAACGTGGATTGCAAATACAGTATTCCCAGGGTGTGAAACCCATGAGTACTGAGGGCTAACGGTGGGACTTGAGTATGTTCAGGTGGGCGTTCTGAAACCAATCTGATGTGTATACTGAGAGATGACTGTGTATAATTTGGTAAGTTAACAGACTCTTTTGAGATACAAAATTTTAAATTTTGATGGAGTCCAATTTATCAGTGTTTTCCTTTTATGGATTGTGCTTTATTGATGCTTTTAAGAACTCTTTGCCAAGCTTGAGATTTCAAATATTTTAATTTTTTTCTAAAATTTTTATAGTTTTAAGTTTCATATTTAATTCCATTATTCATTATGAGTAATTTTTTATAAGGTGTGGCTTAGATCACAATTCACTTCTTTGCCTATGGATGTCCAGTTGCTCCAGCACCATTTGTTGAAAGATTGTCATTCCACCATTGAGCTGCTATTATACCTTTGTTAAAAATCATACTGTGTGGGTCTTATTTCTGGGCTTTCTGTTTTGTCCCACTGGTTTTCATGTCTCTTCTTCTGCCAGTACCATACAATCTTGCCTACTATAGCTGTATAAGAAGTCTTTAAGTTGGGTAGACTGGTTTATTTTTTTATTTTTATTTATTTTTATTTTTGGAGACAGTCTTGTTCTGTCACCCAGGCTGGAGTGCAGTGGCGTGATCTTGGCTCACTGCAACATCTGCCTCCTGGGTTCAAGCAATTATCCTGTCTCAGCCTCCTGAGTAGCTGGGATTACAGGCATGCACCACCACACCCAGCTAATTTTTGTATTTTTGGTAGAAACGGGGTTTCACCATGTTGGCCAGGCTGGTCTCAAACTTCTGACCCCTGGTGATCTGCCCGCTTTGGCCTCCCAAAGTGCTGGGGTTACAGGTGTGAGCCACTGAGCCTGGCTGGGTAGACTGATTTTTTCCCACTTTTTCTTCCGTCATCATTGTCTTCTTTCTTGCTCTTTCTTCTTCGTCTTCTCCTCCTTCTCCCTCTCCCTTTCTCCTCCTTCTGCTCCTCCTCCCTTCTCATCCTCTCTTCTCCTCCTCCTTCCCCTCCCCTTCCCTCTCCCTCTCATTTTTTGACACAGGGTCTCACTGTCACCCAGGCTGGAATGCAGCAGTGTGATCATAGGTCATTGCAGCCTCTACCTCTTAGGCTCAGATGATCCTCCTGCTTCAGCCACTCAAGTGGCTGGAACTACAGGCGTATGCCACCATGTCCAGCTAATTTAAAAATTTTTTCTGTAGACACACAGTCTTAACTACTTTAACTTCTGGCCTTAAACAGTCCTCTCGCCTTGGCCTCTCACAGTGTTGGGATTACAGGTGTGAGTCACTCTGCCCAGCCAAATCTTTCACCTTTAAGTATAATGTTAGCAGTAGATGTTTTGTAGATGTTCCTTGTCAAGTTGAGGAAGTTCCTCCTCTATTCCTATTTTCTGAGAGGTTTTTAAAAAAATCTTGAATGAGTATTAAGTTTTGTCAGATGCTTTTTAAAAATCAATTGATGGGATCATGTAATTTTTCCTCATTAACCTGTTAATGTGGTAGATTATATTGATTTATTTTCAAGTATTGAACCAGCCTTGCATCCATGGAATAAACTCCACTTGATAAAGGGTAATTATTTTAATGTATTGTTGAATTCTATTGGCTAATAGTTTGTTAAATATTTTTATGTCTATATTTATGACAGGTATTGGTCATAGTTTTTGTTTTGTTTTGTTTTACTGTCTGGTTTTGGTGTCCAGTAATAGTAACTTCATACAATGAATTAGAAAGTTTTTCCCCTTCTGTTTTCTCGATGAAAATGTGCAGAACTGATATTAAATTTTCTTTAAACATTTGGTAGAGTGCTCCTATAAAACCATCTGGGCCTGGGGAATTTTTTTTTTTTTTTTTGAGTTTAAAAATTACTCATTCAATTTTTTTGGTATTATAGGGCTATTCAAATAATTACCAAGGGATGAGTGTAGATTATTGGCATTTTTTCAGGAATTGGTTTATTTCATTTTGAGTTGTCAAATTTATGCTTGTTGAGTTGTTAATAATAGTTCCTTATACTTTTGTTGTCTCCATGGTGTGTAATGACATCCTCTGCTTCATTCCTGATACTGGTAATTTGTGTCATTTGTCTTTATTCTTTGTCTGTCTTGTTAGAGGTTTGTTAGCTTCATTGACC